TCACTCGTTGTCAGTATAATGTGACCGGGCGGGGTGCTGTGCTGGGTCCCTTCGGCATGGTATTTCAGTGAGATAGCACTATAAAATCGGCATCAGATCCGCGCTATCACAAGGATGCAAATACACCCAACATACCCTGTCTCCAGCAGTCATACACAACACACACGTTCTTAAACGACGCTAGCTGTTAATAGGACGTTAAACAAAATAAAAGACAAAGCATCTAAAAGACTCGGCTACCTGGTCAATGGATGTGTCCTGGCACAACTGTGCTACAGTTATATGCAACAAGGTATTGCATATACCGGAAAAACTAATGAAGTGGGGCAAGATTCCTTAATATGCCCCATTATCACTCGACACCGTCCTCACGTGACGTCCGGTGACGTGATTTATGCACATCAAGAATCTGGCTATTATAAACTTGGTAACCAAATAGCACTGTTTATATTCTCGTTAACTTTTTGAAAAGAACCTTGATTTTTTTAATTTTTATTCATGCTCCAAATATCTAATGTGATGCAGTAACGCAGGTTCAAGACAGCGAGGTCCCGGACAAAACACATGCAGACATACCACACAAAGATTTAGCACACGGACATAACACAAATAAATTTAACACAACAATTTGTTTCAAAAATATTATGTCGTTTATTTGGCTATGTAAAAAAAAAAGAGAGAATATCATCTGATTACATCGACGTCACAATCCCGGAAGTCGCTCAGGTAAATATTCTTTTATGTAAATAAAGAGGTCATCATTCTCTCAGGACCTTTAAATATTTAATTACAACTTATAATTCTATAAATGAGGTTTAAGTAAATGATTAGTTATAACATGTTTATACAAGTAGTGTTGATTGAAAAGAATCAGCATCAAAATTCGGCGAATTTTCTCTGACCTGTCACTCTTGAACTCAACATTAATCACATAACCATTGTTTTAAGTATATACTGTCATCTATATAGTCAAATTGGATTAAACAAGAGTATTTCCAATTAAATTTCCCCTTGTTAATACGTATAAATGTATCGGTAACTATAAACTTCACTCATTCACCCCTGAAATTTCATAACGAACTACTCCGACCATTGAATTGAGAGAGTTCAAATGTGTTTTTCAGGGGTGAACGAGTTAAGATAATGGAAAAACCCCAAAGTTTGAAGCAGTTCCTTACTCTCATGTCAACAACTTCATCATGGCCTGGGTTGATTAATTGATATCAGTCAATACAAACTCGCGATACAAGTGTCTTAACCTATATATGTAATATCGATTACGATTGGCTGTAATCAACGCCGATTTGAAATAAATGAAATCATGGATATGATATTATATATAATTAATAATTGTGTTTTTAATCTGAATATTTACTCATTTTTTTAAATTTTCATATCCATATTCATCTTGAAATGTGTTAGTTGTATATTAATACATATTTGTATATATGGTAATTTCTACAATACAGTTCGCGTGTGTTTGATTATGACTTACATACGACACGAGCAAAACAGTGATATCAACATTTAAGTTACAACTTTAAGGGATAGTAAACAGTTACAAGGAAGTTTGCTCTTAAACCGTCCAAAAAATAAACAACAACGAGAGCATATAAACAGGAAAAATATATACTGGAGGAATAAGACCTCCCGTTCTTACATCATACAAACTCGCGCTCAAGATCAACCTAGCTAAGGGCATCTGCTCCACAAAACATCATATCGGCGTGGAAACATGTGTCGAACAACAGTGTATATTGATTGTATGGAAAACACGGGGACAGGATACGTTATAAAAGTCAGTACGAGTGACTGTAATGGTGTTACGGAAAGTGCATCAGCACGATATCCCTATACGACCATTATAAACCACAAAACCAACGTCAATAAGAGTTTGTCTGACCCGTGTGTGGAAAAAAACTAACAATGGTTCACAAAAAACCTGCATAAATTGTTCTATCATGTCTCGTAAAGGCATGTGTTTCCGGTAACCTTATAACCTATCTTTCAGACTGTATTGTCTACTCTGTAAGCGGGTATGGTAATTTAAAACGAGCAATTTTAAATAGCAAGGAAGCAAAATGCATCTTTCCAAATTCTTTTTAAAAAGATGTAAGCTTTTAAATAAACATTTTGGAAAAAGAAAAAAGAAAAACTTTTCCTTTAAACACTATTCTCACAACCGTCACCGGAAACACATGTACAGCTTTGTTTGGCCTGAACTTGTATATTAATTAGTCAGACGGACCTAAATTTGTTCGTCCACCTATACAAACAAAAACCATCAAAACGAAAATTGGAATCGCATGTAAATTTATAGTAACAGGTTTAACTACATAAATATGACGCTGTTTGTTACATCAAAACTGTGGTTACGCTTATTATTCAATATTGTAAAATGAAGTATAAATAATAATAACTATTAAGCATGCTTGCCTATTACCTACATGTACCCTAAAAAACAGAGAACGGAAACAAATTTTTTTTTGGACTTATTTTCATTTCCGGACTTAAATGCTTTTAAAGTTGTCCGGATAACCGAAATCCGGATTATATTTGAGTTTGGACCAACGAGATTAATCATCAATGACACCTATTTATCTAAGACTACCGATGTATTTACAAACAAATCGGCACGTTATTCGCCTATATATCAATCTCCATTTACATATTAAATAGTATAGTTAAGTATTTTACCTATACCAGGTAAACAGCAAGGTAATTGAACATAAGCGACAGCGCGTGATCGATTTCAACAGCTGTGCCTATCTGTCAAATGATCTACGCCATCGATTTCTGTCTCATCATCAGAAATACGATGCATCCGTTAGGCCCGATACTAAATGAAAATGTATATACTACTTATCCGGAATTGCATAAAACTTATTGAAAATTAATATTCTAAGTAATTAATTAACGTAATGATGCCAGTATAAATGGGTTTATTTCACGTCCGTCGGAAGTTACTTCCGGTTCCGACTGATGACAACATACAAACTAGGTTCAACGATGCAACAGGGAAAATTCAAGAACTACGAGAGTTATTGAATAAAATATGAACACTTCGAACCGACAGTTATTAATAGTTTGATGGATCAGGCCAGAACTCCGTTCTATGTTGCTCCATATACGATGCATTATTACGTCTCGTCATCCACGATACCCAGGGGCTACGCTCATTTTCGCTCTGTGCAGAAACCGAAAGTGAGCGTAACCCCTGGATATCGAGGATATGTCTGGTCGACACAATAAACTTAGCCCTACCTCTATGTGGTTTGCTAAATCTACATCACGTCCAAAATTAAAGCATGACTTTTTTTTTTCTATATATACATTTGTAAAGTCACTGCAGCATATAATATATACAGATTACTAAATATAGCAAAGCATTGCATCACTATATATAATATCTATGGTATTTCAAAAAGTAATGTACATAAAATCGTAATTTCACAAAATAATATCTGTACTGATAAATGTGAACATTTTCTCATACAACTCATGCAGATAACCTATCTTATATACATTTAGATGTCATACAATCTCACATGTTCTTCCTGACATACAAAATTCAGTCATCAGTGGCATAACATAATACAAAGTGTATACAAAACGAAAGTAGAAACAAGTGCAACATTAAGATTTTCATTTACAGAGGGAAAACCCCGAATTAAAGCGGCCACCAGAAGGAGAACTTGTTTAGCTAACAATGTGAATTTATTCTAATCTTATCTACATCTTACGAGAAAAATATCCTTTTGGCAAAACGAATTTTAAAGCTATGTAAAGTACATCTGCTTATCACATTTTCATTGCATACGACATTTACTTTTTATCAAGTCGGCCTACGCGCTATGTAGATGAATAACACGCCAAATGGTGATTTCTAAACGGGTCAAGTATACAAAAAAGTATCTTCTTATTGAGCAAGTAGATTATCGCTATATAATATTCCAATTTACTGCAGTTATAGGATTAATAAATGGCGAATTGGGGTATTTTTTGTTACCTTGAAAATAAATTATTGCATTATTACAACCCCGAATTCACATTATGTTAATTTGACTTCGAGCCGAACAATTTGAAATCAAATCGTAAAAAAACATCAATTCCAACTTTGATAGGATTTAGCCATGTAATAGCCTACAGAAGTTTGTGTTTACGAACGTCAGATAGTCTATGGTATAAATCTAGCGCAGTCACGATACCTTCGATAAAGGCGTCGTGACTGACGGGTCACCTTTAAACTTAACGAGAGTTTAGTAACTGGTCACAAATATAGACATAACCTGCTAATCCAAAGGCGAGAACCTTGCGTGAAAAATGTAGATCTGATTTACTTCACTGAACATTCCGGGATAGTTTAATTTTAGTTTCATTGAATATTCAATTTAAATAGCCGCCAGTTAGTGGATCATCTAGATCTGTTTTAGAGTTTATATAACGCTTTGTACCTACTTCTCCGATACCATTGTTTAAATTGACACGCTTGGCTGACCATTTAGAGCACCATGCAGATACCTTACATATTGAGCCTAGTGTTGTGTACATTTCGGTATTCATGGCACGCAGCTGACCTCGAAATAGAAATGTATCAACTCATTTTACTTTAAGTCTGTCTTAACTATAGTTCTAACCCATGACAAAAAAAGTGTACACCTCAAAATAGAAACATAAATAAAAATATGATGCCCGAGTTCAGGCACACCCGAAATTATATACCGCAGGCTACAGACATACGGGTACGGCTCGGGTTTGGGTCGTGGGTATATTTAATCAAACACGCCTGACAAGCTCTTAATGGTCGTCAAACTGGTTTTACACAATATAAAGGAAACGAGAAATATCAATATAATGACTGTGAAAAAGAAAAAAGGGTGAACAAGAACAGGTTTAACAAAAGAAAAACTTAAGTATAACAACAAAATGAAAAATAGTCTATACAAAAATATACATATGTATTGCTTTGGGCATATTTAATGTTTGTTATAATAGTTTGAAAATATTTGGTACCTTCCCCAGTTAACAACAAAATATACCATAAGAATATTTAATTAACAGATATATATATATCATGGAATATTCTAAAGTAAATACGAACCGATACAGTACTCTAGAACGAACTTTGAGTATTACGATAACAAGTGTATCATAATACCAGTCATCTGGCCCTAGCACCGGACAAAATGACCTTGACCTGGTAAAAAGGTCAAACAACACTCGGGGAACAATCCGAGTTTTCTCTGACCCCCTTTACTCGCGTAAACCATAAAATCAGGAGATTTTGAGTTAAGGAATGCTCGGGGGGAAATCCGAGTTTCTATGACCATATTCCTCACGTGAACAGCAAAATTGAACTATTTGGAGTCAGAGAAACCTCGGAACTTCTCTAGAAAGTACATGTCTAACTCACTAAAACCATGGGTTGTCTCGGCATCTTCAATAAATCCCTCGCGTTTTACAGCCGAGGCTGTCACAGAATAAAGCACTATTTTGTACAATTAAACTGTTCCTCTTCTTTATGTCCATTTTAGGATTAATAATATTTATATACAAAACACAAATCCTTTTAATCCAGATTTTGAATTTCATATATCCGAATGTATCGTATAGCTTTCTATACCACTGCACGTTGTTTAGAATTCAATAATCCGAAATCACAAATAGTTCCTATTATTTCGTAAATAAGAATCCACGACATGTTGGTATTATCATTATATATAACAAGACGCACCGATATTGTTGCACACTGCCGTAAGCTCGGTATTCACCAGTAAGGCAATACTTGATCTAGTACATCGTGAAGTCGCCGATATCGTCCTCCTTGCTATCGTCATGTACTGTTGGGGGACGGGGAGCAGGTTCATTCAAATCATACGCCGTAGGATAGTCATGGACATCGGATCGTCTCGTTTCTTCCTTTATACTCTTAGAGAAGTTCTTTTCATTCATGAATTGATTTTCCTCTCGTCTAAAGTCTCTTGGTTTACGAACAGGTTCGGGATTATCGAACCCTTCCCAACCGGGATAAGTGTTACCGCGGGGTATTTCAGAGGCGTACCCGTAACTCTGCGCAGAAAAATGGCTTTCCGGCCCCTTCTTGTTTTTCTTAGCCTTTTTGTTCTTCTTACTCTTTTTGCTCTTCTTGCCAGTAGTGTTAACGTAACGGAGATGAGGGGGCACTGAAGATGATCGCATGGGGAACGGCTGGTACCCTGGGTAGTTGTAAACGTAATAAGCTGGGTTGTTGTCTGGCGGCACTCTGCCGTACCGGCTTCTATCCCTTTTTCTCTCGTACTCTTCTCGTCTGCTCATGCGCGGGCGAGCATTGTCGTAGTCACGTGGAGGGGTGCGCGGTCGATAGTTAGAGATAGAGCTCTCACTTCCGTAATCTCCACCATTCCTTAAATTGGGATCTCCTTTTTGGGGACTTGGTGAGCGGGAATTTGACCCTGAACTCGATGACAGTGACCTTGGTTTGCGTGGGCGCCGTACATACACAGGACGGGGTGGCATCATGTGTGGAGGATAGGGCGACATACCCGGTGGAGGAGGAGGCGCCATACCCGGTGGAGGAGGACGCATCATAAAGGGACCCGGGACCGGTCTAAGCCGGGGAGGGGGAGAGAAAAATCGGTGTCTCAAGTAGGGATGCTGCATAGGAGGTGGGACCCCCGGGTGCATGTAGACCGGTCTCCTCATGCCTGGCATAGGCTGTGGAGCGGGCTGTGGGATTTGCTGTCTGGCTTGCGGGGGGACTGGCGCCGGCTGTGTTGGGGGTGGGGGCACGGTTGTCGGTGCCGCCGGTGGGGGTTGACCCGCCATCATATATATCGGTTTTGGAGCGGGCCCCAGTCCTGGTGACTGTGCGGGTTGTGTAAAAGGGGGCACATTGGTCACGGTTGGCGCACGATCGGACATCGGCGGAGATGGGGTCTCATCATCACCATTCTTCTCTATGTTGAAAGTCTTAGCCTCTGCCTTGTCGCTGCTGTAAAAATATCCCTGAGTGGGAGGAGGCTCGTAGAATTCAGGTGGGGCATCACGAGGTTTGTTTACGACACCTGGCGTCAGACGTATACCATTTGTGGTGGCGTGACCGTTAGTGGTTCCGTTTGTGGTGCCATTAGTGGTTCTAGCAGTTCCGCGTCCGTCCATGGTACCGTTTGCTGTTCTGAACGTTGGTGGGGGTCCAGAACTCCTGAATGAGGTACCCCTAAACGCGTGTGGGGGTTCAGCGGGTACAGGTTGGGGTGCCAATGGTGGCAGACCTCTCGACTTCCGGTCCACAACAGATGTTGCTCGAACAAGGTCCATCGCATCCTGGTCGGAGGCACACAGGAAACCATGACACTCCAGAATCTTCCTCCCCTTAGTGCGACGTGTAATTGTAGAAAAAATGGCGGGGCTTTTACAGTCGATGCTGGGTTTTGTTAAAGGGTTGGAAAGGGAAAGAAACTGGGACTGTACCTCGCCAGTACCGGCGTTAATTTTTTTCACCTGCCTTACAGCGGCGCATAATGTCAAGGATGTGATGGGGAAGAAAATGATAAGATTACCATCATCAACGTACTGTAGTTGAATACCAGTAGACAGGATACTCAAATAGGAGTCTATACCCTCTACCTTTGACTCGTCCCCGGTAGCGCAGGTGTACCGGTCTCTTAGGGGCTGTTGAATAGCCTCGATCCCTTCCTGGGTCTCCAAGGGTACAGAACTCCCTATATACAGCACACGTCTCCTTACCAGTAGCTGGGGCTGTGGTTGTACCACCATTTTGAATGTTTAGATGTCCGGAAAACGATTTTAAAGCACAATTAAGTCCCAATTACACATCACCGAATGTTCAGCTTCAGTATGAATATCCACAAGTCACTGAGCTGTCGCCATGTTAGTCCCAGGTAAGGAATACAGGTGTGGTATAACGAGGTAGGTCGCTCTCAGGTATGGTTCACTGTCGATACCACAGCCGCTGACAATCTGACACGAAAACTACTCCATACACTGAGAAAATGTCGTCCGAAAATTTAGCGGACTTGTCACCGGTCAGTGATGGTGGTAAACAAGGACCAACGTTTGTCAAACTGTCGAGATCCGGGCTCTCAGCGCAGGTATTGAACACAAAAACACACACACAATTTCACGTACACGGCAATCCTATGTTAACACTGTGACGAGTCAATAAACAGGCAAATGCCTTGTGTGTAGACGTCCTTTCAGAACCGGTTCCGTCGAACAAAACTATTTTAAGCCTGCGTATTAATGCAGTCAGTGGAGTGTGACGTGAGCTCTAGTCAGTGGGTACACGTATAGGTACCATGCCTAACACACACAAACACACCTACCTACATATATAGCGAGGTTCCGTCGGGTGAAAAATAAACACCTTCTTAGGAAAAGTAAATTTGTCGTTTGTATGTGTTCAGTATGAGATTATCATACCTGAGGTTCTCCTCGGCTGTCACCTAATTACATATGTAGACAGGTAAACTATACACCTGAAGCGACACGTACTTTGTAATCAACGACAGTAAGACGAAAACACTTACAGATGTATACTGTACATACACAGGTAATAAATATGATTAATACACACCTGGATCACATGTAATTATAGAAACAATGTAAAAAAATATACTGGATAGAAGTATATTTTTATGAGTTTACGCGATTGACAAGTGACCATCATGGCCGGGATATGTCAATCAAACTTGACCATCGAGTGGCCTGGAGGGAGGATAAAATCTATCAATACGATTTATGTCGAGCTAGTGGACAATAGAGAGTGATATCTGTATTAGAGTGTCCAGAATTGTAGGCAAACTGACCACGGCTTTACAAATGTATTATCTGGACTATGACAAGTGTTACGAGTAAACATGTGTTTGTCCACCTCGAGCTCGTGGCACTTATAAATAACTTACAAGTCTATATACATAATCATCTGTAAGCAATCCAGCATGTATATGAAAACATATATACTGCATACACAATAGCGTAAAGATTGGACAGATAATATCTCTCTTTTCCGCAAATTTTACACTCATTTTTTTTTGTGGTTCTCCAAAACTCTTGTCTTTAATTGAAACCGAAACTTTTACTCAAAAAATAAAGTTAACAATTTTAAGGCAATTAGTCTAGTACCCAACGAAATAACGTATTTTTTCTCTTCTTTTGCTTCCCTTCTTTCACAAATCCCCTTTCCTTCATCTCCTTACATTACGTACGCACACGCACACACGCTCCACGTACGCACGCACACACGCACACATGCACTCTCGCAATCACTCATGCACGCAAACTTGTTCACGTTTTATTGTCATTTTTTTATGGAAATGTTAGGAGATGGCGATACTGAGTTGTGATAACTTGTGTGCCTCATCTTTGTTTTGTTGCGTGCCAAATGAAATATTTCAAAATAAAAATGAAATATAAAAGAAATGAAGCATAAAAAAATGGTTCTATTGCACAATTATTTACAAAGCATACTTTTTGATGGAATATAGGAAAGGAAAATAAAAAAAGTTTCCAAAATAAGTCGCTGACATTGAACAAAGTTTATAACTTCTGACCATTCTCAAGCATTTACACCGCTTGAAAAAAAGGTTGACACATATAAAAAAATATATACAAAAAATAATAAAATTAAAATGTTCAAAACGCGTTTTACTTTATCTTAGTCCGTGTTTATTCTCAGATCCAATTTTTGCTTAAATGATATCTCTTACAAGATATCGCTATGTACGGTGCACTGAAAAGACGAGCAAAAAATAAATTCAGACTGTATATAAAAGTTGGTCTTAAGTCCAACATTTTCTGTCCAATGAATGACTAAGAAATACTATATTAACATAATTACCACTTCCCGGGCGGATGACGAGGGATACGCTATATCGGATGTCCGGATGACGAGGGATGTATCCTGTTTTCGGATGATGACGGATATACTGTTTTCGGATTAGGAGGGGTAAACTGTATCCGGTTTCAAAATACACATATGAAAAAAAGTAGAAAAACATTAATCTGCATAATCAGATTGTTGACTTTATATAAAGATGACATATTCTATGAAGAATAATCTCTTTGATGACTTTTTAACTTTAGAAGTCGCCAAAATATTGTCCTGAAATTACACGATGTATTTGTAGTATTTGAAAACAATACTCGCACCAACGCGCTTGTGTTAATAACCTAAATGGAAGAAATGCTTTGTAAAATGGCAATTCGGTAGTTAACGAGAACATATACATCAAAGAGCCGCAGAAAAGGTTGGGATGCGGGTCGGGGCGTGTTCACTGAGTTTGTGCAGGTAGCATAGGGCAAATCTCTCTTGTGAAACATGTTTTCTGGTTTTTATTCGGTCAAAATATTACTACACTCAGCGGAAATCATTACATGCACAGTAAGACAAAATCAAAAATGCCCCAAGAAACAATTTAAAATAGTGTTTAGAATATTCTCCGTGAAAGTTAGTATCTAGTACTTTGACCTTGGCCTTAACCGCAACGGTTCCTACGTAACGTATATAAAGCAAATTAATCGTCTTTACATCTTGTTTTCTCTCCACATTTCTACCCTTCTGCCATTTATGACGGTTTTTTGTGTGTGATGGTGGGTCGTTACATGTACGTTATACCAATCTATCAAACCATCCAACATGAGATAAGAAAAATAATTATCATTGCAGACTGACATTACGTCATGAGTGGTCAGCACGCGACCCAGAGACGAGTTACACCCTTGACCAGTGTCCATCTGTCAAGGTTGTTGTCCAAGCGGCGCCTTTTACTCGAGTATTTTATAGCCTTTGTCATGTCCTACATCACCGGGACTAATTACGTCGTCAATCTTCGGCAAAGTTCGGAACTGTCCGTCAATGTCGCCACGACCCTCGTTCTCGATGATGCATCATGTGATAGTTTTTTGTTTTTTTTATCCCAAATGATTGATTCGCTCATTGATTATAAGGCTAACTGGGCCAGACTTACGCTGACAAGATTATAATACATTAGGTACTGATCGTCTGCCATCTGTTATCGTCGATAGGTACGACCAAGGACTACTAACAAAATGTCTATGGAGCTACAAGTAGGTTGTACTATACATATATACAAAGCACATATGTCGCCAACCTCGATCCCAACTTTATCAAGGAACTGTTATAGAATTTTACAAAGTACAACATTAATTATACCAGTTTCGTATTCATCTCCTGGCTTTTTCTAAAGAATTTTACAAACTACGTTTTTTAAACCATAAACTTAAGGGCCCGTATTCATGAAACCGTTCTCATGCTCAAGCATGGTTTTTGTGCTCAAACCTATTTTTATTTGTTTCGTTTATAAATTAATAATGAAATCTTATTTTGTCAATGATTTGGAAAAATATTGAAGAAACTTAAAGCCAAATACTGTTTTCAATGTAAAGATTCCACGTTTTGATCGTTTGACATGATTTCAGTGAGTTCATATTAGATGGTTTGAGCATAAAATCAATGCTTGAGCATGAGAACGGTTTCATAAATACGGGCCCATATTACATTTTATTTTTGCAATTCGCAACTCACAAAAGGCGGAACTCTCTTGAACTACGCAAACTTGTCCCCTACCTGTATGCTGTTAATACATTTTTCATTTTGTCATAACTTTAAACAAAGAACTGATGCTATGAACATAGTCCATGGTTCTTTACGAGACGGTCATATTAAATTGTACAGACAGATTTAGCATCATGTTTTTCAACCAATTGGTGGTTCTTTTTCGTCGTTTAAGCATTTTCAACTCAAAGTTAAAGTTTCTTGTTTTTCCTTTTTTGTGAGTGTCAACATTTTGGTGTGTTTGGCCTTAAATAACTGAAATCGTTGATGGATCACAAAACAATACATGCAAAATCGAAAAACTAAATGATGATTATTATGTGTCCATAATCTCACCACATGTCCCTTGAAAGCGCAACCTATGTCTTAATAAGGAGTTTTCTTTTAGTCATATTTTTGCTTAGCCCGGAAATATGTGCGCGCATGAAGTCCAGCGGCGAGCAGCTCGATTCACAACCGGCGATTACTCGCGTTACAGTAGTGTAACCGGGATGTTGATCGAGCTACACTGGCCACCCCTACAGCAGAGACGGAAGGAAAGTCGACTAACCAACCTATACAAAGGCATCCACAACACCAACGCACTGATCATACCACCATATATCAGTAGTAACGCCAACATAACCATGGCTATATCAACATACAATGCAACACCGACACCTACAAATACAGCTTCTTTCCAAACACCATTATGGAATGGAATGGACTACTATCAGAGGTCGTCGAGCAGCTGACTGTGGAGGCATTCAAGACCTCGCTCCACAGTCATCTTGCAGAGTGAATGTGGATCCTGTAAATAGTTTTAACTTTTAAACCTGTTTTAACGAACTGTTGTGGAAGCAACGCCGCACAAGTCTACCTGCAAGTTGATGCTGTTCGACGGCCCTTTGCAGTATCGCCGTAAACGTAAATGTAAGTTAATTGGATGTGCGTATAACTTTAATTAACTCTTGCAAACCTTAAACCCTGTCTTTGCCAAAATATGAACATATAACTATCGAGTTTTCTTATATAAACATGTACTTCTGAATACTTATATGTAAAACTCCTTGAACCTTCCAACACATCTATATAGCTTCTTTATTTCTCAATATCCCACCCCCACCTCGTTTATTTTTTTTTCTCTCTTTTCTTTTTTTTCTTTTCTTTCTTCTTTTTTTCTCTCTCTCTTAGTCTTACTTTCCCTTCTATACCTCTAGGACCTGCTCTAACCTCTTTTCTATCACTTCTAAACAATGCATTTATATAACGGACACAATTTAGATGGAATTTAATTATATATAAACATAATTAATTATTAATTATACCTGGAAATATGCAGTTTTATTATAAATGAATATTTAATGAATGAATTGTAATGTGCGAGAGGAATAATGTTTATGTATGATATATTTGCATTGTTATAAATTTGGAAAAAAATAAAAAATTACAAAAATAAATAAATTAACTCTTGCAAACGAAATACAACATTATTGTCTCGTGCTCACAATGTGATTAACCCCTACGCACGATATAACTAAATAGTTCGCACGAGGAAAAGAAATAGCACACCACCAAAGAGTGTGTCCCTTTTTGAAATCCGTGTGATTTTCTTATTGAAATTTGTTCACATTTTTAATCTGTCGCAAGCAAACGAAGTTGTTGGCAGAAAGTGAAAGTTTCAGGCAGGTTAAGATTTTATAATGCGCATAACATTCGTGTAAATTAACATTAGATGGTACATTTCATTTGAATAATAAAGATGATAGAAACACATTACATGTACGCTGCATTACTCCAAATAATAATTTCATAATAATCGGACATTTTTTGAACTAGTTGATATTGTTTTGTATA